CGACCAACCAACCTACCTACGACAACGTACCGTCCTACCTACGTACCGTACCGACGTCTTCTTCTAGTACTACTACTTAGTAACAATAATATAATACTCCTCCTCTCTCTCTCTCTCTCTCTCTCTCTCTCTCTCTCTCACATACGCACACACACACAACACACACCCATGCATGAAAAAAAGAAAAACTATTTTCAATTTAAGATTCCTCAAAGAAGAAAAGTTGTTCTATTTCACATGAAGTAACATATATGTGTTATGTTCATTGTAATTCAAAGCTAATCAAGGGCATCCTTCTTCTTTTTCTTCTTCTTCCTTCCCTCATGGCCTGGTCTTGTTCTTCTTCCTCTATTCTTCTCCATAGTAGTAAACTTGATCCCACAAATTTTCTCATGTGGAAACACCAGATACTTGCTTTCATTCACAATCAAATTCTCGTGGGTCATCTTATTAGAATCGATCCAATGCCGCCATAGTTTATTCATAATGAACAAGTTGATAATGAAGAGAATCAAATACTCATTTTTACTTTCAATCCTGCATTCACTGCAAGGAATGCTTTGGAGAAGACCTTAATTTCTTGGAGTACCACCACTTTTTTGTTTGGAATACCTTCAGACCTTATTCTTTTGGAGTACTAACATTTTGTCTCAAGAAATTTTGCTCAAAGTCTCTAATTGATGACACCATTTAAGGATTTTTGGATATTCTAAAATTGTTGGGGTTTTTGTGGCCTTTAAAGGTTGTAAGAGCATGTAAACAAAGAATTATAGTGGATTATGTACTTCAATGGGAGTGCGTGTGTTGGTTGACTGATCTAGACTAGGCGGTTTATGGTCTTGGTTATGTCCAAGAGCCACACTAGGGCATATGGCACTACTGTTGAGGGTTTCTAGAGATTCATCCCTAGTTGAGGTTGGGGAGATGCCCAAGGATGGATTGTAGGCTAGGAGAGTTTTGTGGTCTCTTGTGTCAATGTATGCTTGTGAAAGCTTAGGGTCAAATCCTCAACAAGCTTCTGCATGACATATACATATGATAACCGCATATTGGGAAGCAACGTTGCAAATGCTATGTGTACTTGTGCAAAGAGAATCCCCCTTATACTATAGTAATATGTGCGTATGACTTTCTCTTAAGGGGGAAACATGTTATCCACATTCGAAGAATGTGGTTCCACTATTTCTGTTGGGGTTTCGTGACGATTTAAAGGCCTTATGAGAGCATGTACTGAAAATATATAATGAATTATTGATTCTAGTGGGAGTATGGTCCAGCTTGGACTGTATTGCATTGATAATGCTTTAGAATCATATGAGTTTTGACTGGCTATGACTCAATGTGAATTCCAAAACCCGTAGTTGTGGGTATCGTGTAAGCACAACCAATAAAAGTTTCGATGTGGGGTTATCCTTAGATGAGGTTGGTGCCCTGGATAGTTGGCTAGGGGACATGGATTTGACCCATGTGTGTGATGGATGGCATGAGAGGACAAGAGCCTAAATCCTCATCATTACCATCATACGGCATATACACTACATAGCTGTCCAAGAAGCGACCATTTGGACAAGGGTGTACGACATGTACTTGTACGAACTGCGGAAGAGATGACTCCCTGCAACTTTGGATTGTGTTGGAAGGACCCATGCAACATAATGCTAAAATGGGCCCTGGACTTATCCTTAGGGAGGGACCAGTAATCTATGGTCTAG